CTCTCTCTCTCTCTCTCAAAAATAAATAAAAATAAACATTTTTTAAAAAAGGATATACTGAAAAGTAAGTCTTCCTCAGATCCCTGACCTCAGTTTCTTCTCTCCACGTCTCCTTCCAGGGACCCTCTTTGCATAATCAACATATACATTATCATGCTTATTTCAAAGGGGAGGCAATGAGGTTCGGCCTGTCCAGGGAGGCACACCCAGTAAGCAGTTGAGCTGGAAATCCAGGCCTTTGACTCCATTCTCCGTGTTCTTCCCACCACACCACACTGTCTGGGAAGCTCTATGGCATTAGATTTTGTCCTCTCTGGATGATATGGTGGAATTGTTTTAAGTCAGTCCAAAACCAGAAAATAAAAAATCACCAACAGAGACTTGAGTTCCCAGCGCTGCCTTCCACTGCTGCCTGTTTTTGTCTGAAGCTTAAAATCTTTCCCTTCCTCTGCCTTTGACAAGGTGAGATCTGTGGCCTGGGGCACCAACTATGGATGACTGAGCTCCCAGTATGTCAGGCTTGGACTTGGGGGACACTGGCAGACCTCTTGCAGGGATCCCAAAGAGGATTAGGTAGTCCCAGCTCAGGAACCTGGTTGCTGGCATGTCTACACAGAGGACCTCTAATGCTTTTTCCCAAGAGCAGGCATTTTTCTCTGGGAACAGGAGGCAGGGGTACTTTTGTCCCAGCAGAAACAACTGCCTCCTAGCACAAAGGTCCACTCTTCTAGATGATGGTTTGATGGTTCTCAGCTCTCCTCGTAAGGGACAAATAACCTCTTCTTTTTTCCCCCTGCAGGTTTGTGGATACCCCCTGGCTGGGCTTCATGGAGAATTCTTCACTGATCACTAACCTGAATCCCAGAACAGACCCCCTCTTTCCCTGGACAGAATGAAAGGCCTTCCGTAGCCAGGCATAGCTGGCCATCATGGGGAAATTGATCAGAATGGGGGCACGGGAGAGGCGGTTACTCCGGCCAAAGCGGCTTCATTGGAGTCGCCTCCTCTTCCTGTTGGGAATGTTGGTCATCGGTTCCACCTACCAGCACCTGAGGAGCCCCCGGGGCCTCCCCTCATTGTGGGCAGCAGTCTCCTCCCAACATTCTGTAAAACTGGCCAGCCGTGACCTCCCTGACAATGAGATGATGATGGTGAGCAGTGACCCTCCAAGAGCTAGCTCTGAAATGGAGGTGCCCCAAGCCACGGTGGGCAGGGTTCGTGAAGCAACACCTGGGATAACAATGAAGAATACACACGATCCACCCAGAAGAACAGCCAACATCACTCCAACAATATCCAAGATTAAGTACACAGCAGGAGACATAGAAAGAGTGAAGGGAGACAGCACAACCATACCCAGTGGAGTACTGAGTCACTACACCCCAACTTCAAACAGACCAACAGTGAAGAATTACACCCCAACACCACCACCCAGGGGAGAAATGCAGAGCTACAATCCAATTCAAGCCAAGGGAAAGGTGAAGAAATACACCCCATCTCCACTTGGTAGACTAGTAGGCAATTATGCCCCATCCACACTCATGACAATGACAAGGAGACATGGGGTCACCCCCAGAACAACAGTGAAAGACAGTGAAATTATGACAACCACCAAAATATTGGAGACTAACCCCTCTAAGAGAATGGTGGAGGAAACCACCCCAGCTACTCTCAAGGGAATAATTAACACCCCAACTTTCCAGATAAGTGGAATTGAAACAAACATCCTGACTTCTCCAAGGAGTATAACGGAAAAGAACACTGTGACTACCCCCAGAACAGTGGACAGTAAGAGCCCGATCAAGCCGCGGGGGTTAGTGGGAAATAACAGGCTGACAACTTCTCTGGGAACGGTCCTTGAGCACACCACAGCCATCTCTGAGGGGCAAGTGATGATAAGCACCATGACAGGCAGTAGCCCAAAGGAAATCAAAGCCTCTACTGCTACCTGGAGTGTTAGTGATCCTTTGTCTAGGACCAGTGCATTGACCATGGGAATATCCTCAGCTACCTACAGGGGGCTGGCAAAGAAACCTTCCATAGCACCCGGGACCTCATCAACCTCCAAGGTCAGGGTGAATCCAAAGATCCATGTGCATCACTGTGTTTTTGTGGAGCCAGCACCGGCTGTGCCCCCTGCTTCCTCCCTCAACCTGACAACAGCTGCGATCCCAGAGGCACCCAGTTCCAGTCCCTCAGAGCTGCCCCCTGGCTGGCCAGACCTTCACTCCAAGGCAGAGTACCCCCCAGACTTGTTCAGCATAGAGGAGCGGCGACGGGGCTGGGTGGTGCTGCACATCTTTGGCATGATGTATGTGTTTGTGGCCTTGGCCATCGTGTGTGATGAGTACTTCGTCCCAGCCCTGGGTGTCATCACAGATAAGCTACAGATCTCTGATGATGTGGCAGGTGCCACCTTCATGGCTGCTGGAGGCTCTGCCCCCGAGCTCTTCACCTCCCTCATTGGCGTCTTCATCTCCCACAGCAATGTGGGCATTGGTACCATCGTGGGCTCTGCTGTGTTCAACATCCTCTTTGTCATCGGCACCTGTGCCCTCTTCTCCCGGGAGATCCTCAATCTCACGTGGTGGCCCTTGTTCCGTGACGTCTCCTTTTACATCCTTGACCTGATGATGCTCATTCTCTTCTTCCTGGACAGCCTCATTGCCTGGTGGGAAAGCCTGCTGCTGCTGCTGGCCTATGCCTTCTATGTGTTCACCATGAAGTGGAATAAACAACTAGAGATATGGGTGAAGGAGCAGCTCAGCAGGAGGCCAGTGGCCAAGGTCATGGCCTTGGGGGACCTCAGCAAGGTAAGGACAGGATGGTTCAAGCTTCTGCAGCCCCTTTGGGGCAAAAAGGGGGGAGAAGCCAGTGACTAAAGAGGAAAGTGCTGGGTCAGACCTCAAGAGATGGGTGCTTTGGTTCCCTTTGCTATTCATTCAACATTTAAAGTCCTATTCTTTTCTAGGCACTATGCTGGGACCTTTGCAAGAGTGACTTTGGCTCAGCCCCCAATCACCCAGTGGTTATTATCATGATCTATCATTGGTAGGGGAAGAAACCGAGGCCTAATCAAGTCAAACCACTGTTCAAGGTCACACAGCAAATAGGCAGTGGAGCCAGGATTTGAACTTGGGCTGGTCTGACTGGGTCTTTGGAAATAGCATTTGAGCTGGGCTTTGGAGAATATCCAAGGAAGATATCAGGCAGGGAAAAATGATAATCTCTTCCCTGTCCATGGTGTTGAGGGCTTGTCTAGCACCTCAACTTTCACTTAATCTTGTTTGTTCACATTCCAGATGTGGAGGGGCTAGTGGCTGGGATGGGGTCTGGCAGGGGGAGGTTTTTGGGTTTTGTCGTGTTTTTGATATATTGGAGAAGATGAGAGCTCCACTCATCCATGATAGGCTAGCCCTGCGTGCAGAGCCCTCTCTGCGTGTTGAGTGGAGACCAGATATCAGAGGCTCTAACCCTAAGGCTTTCTCTTGACCCTCAACTTCCTTTTGAAGAATTTCTTTGCCCCCATGAGGGACCCTCCCTCTGAGTTCACTGCATGATTCAATAACCTGGAAGATGAGATTAGACCGGGGAAGAGATTTCTGAAGATTCATCTCAGAGTTTTTGTTCCTTGACTCCAAAGTGAGATACCCTAGGGAACACAGATCTTGTTTCTTTCTTGCTCCTAAACAGTGATTTTGGGCAAAGGTCAACTCTCAGCCTGCCTCTTTCAGGTCTCAGACAAACCACTGGTGTGAACATAATTTTGTGTGCAAAGAGTGGAAGGACTTAGCTACTTAATCCAGAGCAGTTTTGATGCGTGGGCAGGATGGAGACCACATTTAGCAGCATGTCTGGGAGATCTATGATGCAAGGAAGAGAAAATGTACTTCCTCTAGGATTTTTGAGATGATGTGGTGTTCTGGACAGAACACAGAACTAAGAGTCAGGAAATCTGGGTTCTATTCTGATTCTGCCTCTAACTAACTGTGTGACCTTGGATAGGTCCCTTCTCTTCTCTGGGGGAAATGACAGAGTCCAACTGGCCACCAAAAGGTCCTATCTGACAACCATTGTCCAAGTGAGTTCAGTTCTGGCAGACCCCGCATCGTGGTTTTTTTGTCCGGTCTGGTCAACCAAGCTCCAATTGCCATATCTGCAGATGACTCCAAAGGAGAATGTCCTACCCAAGGTTGTACAGCCAGCAGGTGTCAGAACTGGCATGAGAACCCAGGATCTAACTCCCCATTCAGTGCTATTTTCTATTAGGCTACTACTCCATGAAGCCAGAGGCTTAAAAAAGAAAGGGAGGCTCAGAGCATTACATAATTTAATATGAAGAAACAGCGGCCTCCCTCCTAGTGAGGTCCTCAGGGCGCATCTTGCTGAGGGTGGCCATAAGCCTGGTAGTCTCCCCTGAGAAAAGCATCTAATGCCGTGGTACACACAGGCCAGCCGTTTTCAAAATGCCTCTGACTTGCCTCCTAATTCTTATCAGTAATTCTGTTTTTTAAATTTTTTTTAATGTTTATTTATTTATTTATTTTTTAATTTTTTTTTTAACGTTTATTTATTTTCGAGACAGAGAGAGACAGAGCATGAATAGGGGAGGGGCAGAGAGAGAGGGAGACACAGAATCCGAAACAGGCTCCAGGCTCTGAGCTGTCAGCACAGAGCCCGACGCGGGGCTCGAACTCACGGACTGTGAGATCATGACCTGAGCCGAAGTCGGACGCTTAACGGACTGAGCCACCCAGGCGCCCCTAATGTTTATTTTTTTTGAGAGAGAGGGAGACAGAGCATGAGTGGGGGAGGGACAGAGAGAGAGGGAGACACAGAATCTGAAGCAGGCTCCAGGCTCTGAGCTGTCAGCACAGAGCCCAACGAGGGGCTTGAACTCACCAACCATGAGATCATGACCTGAGCCGAAGCTGGACACTTAACAGACTGAGCCACCCAGGCGCCCCTCAGTGCTGTTTTTATTTCAAGTCTCCAAATTCTGAGTTTTCCATTTTGCCAGGGCTAGACCATCAAAGGAAAGCTCATCAAACAGTGAAACATAATCATGATTTTAAAGGAGAATTTGTAATCTACTTAAAGAGACTCTTCAAGGGCAATAGTAGCAGGTCTTTGCCAACCACCAAGAGTGGTGCCGGTTACAGCTCTGTTCTTATCTGTTGAGACAAATCCAGCATGAATTTTAATTAACAGTGTTATTTAAAAAAACAGGTTGAATTACGGGCTATTATTAAAAGTAAATTTATATTTATTTAAAGTTAAAAACCTATGGGGTGCCTGGGTGGCTTAGTCGGTTAAGTATCTGACTTTGGCTCAGATCATGATCTCGCAGTTTGTGAGTTCAAGCCCCACGTCAGGCTCTGTGCTGATAGCTCAAAGTCTGGAGGCTACTTCTGATTCTGTGTCTGCCTCTCTCTGCCCCTTGCCTGTTCGTGTTCTGTCTCTGTCTCTCTCTCTCTCAAAAATAAATAAACATTCAAAAAAATTTTTTTTAAAAATTAAAAACCTAGCCTGGTGGGCTTGGCCAGTAGAGTATGCAATTCTTGGTCTTGGGGTTGTGAGTTCCAGTCCCATGTTGAGTGCTTAAAAATAAAATCTTTTAAAAAATAAAATAAAATAAAAACCTATAGTTAGTACTTTCCAGCACTAACAACTCCTCACTGAAAATTAGTACAAGTAACAAGAACTATAGCTACATGGTTTTTAAAGCATCTGGATTTGGATTTCACCTCAAGTTTCTAATAGCAAGAGAGATAGAGCATTCTTTAAAAAAAATTTTTTTTTAATGTTTATTTATTTTTGAAAGAGAGATAGTGTGGGAAGGGGAGGGGCAGAGGGTCCAAAACAGGCTCTGTGCTGACAGCAGGGAGCCCGATGCAGCTTGAACTCATGAACTGTGAGATCATGACCTGAGCAGAAGTTGGATGCTTCTAGAGATAGAGATAGAGGTAGATAGATATATATATATAGAGAGAGAACTGTCTTTGTCTTTGCTTCTACCTTTATGTCTATGTTTGGCTGGCCAAGACCTATGATTTGGTCAGAGGGAGATAAATTATCCTGCACTTCACTTATAGACTGAGGGCGAGCTATTCGGTTTTGAATTCATGCAACAATTCTCGAAAATCCAATTGTTGATCTAGTAAACTGTGTTGGCATTTGTTTTTGCAGTTTACCCCTGTGAACTGTTTGACTTTAACATGAAAATGAACGTGCCTTGCTCTCTCACTAATGTTGACATACTGACGCACACCTCTCCCCGACTAATGGTTCCTCTCTGAGCATCACCTCTGGAAAGCAGGCATCCAGGGAAACCGGGCTTATTCAGTCTGCCATGGCCCAAAGTGAAGAAGTCAGAGAGAAGTGGGGCATACCCAGACAGGGTGGTAGGGAGCCAAGGAGAGGCGGGGTAGGCCAGGTCAGAGCCACAGGTGCTCCGGAAGTCTAAGCAGCAGGAAGAGAAGTGGAGGGCAGTGTGAGCCAGCTCCTTTTGGAGAGAAATAGGAATAGGAAAGACACCTGGGCCTCCCCCTGCCTCCGTTAGCAGCCTGGGGTGAGGGGTAGAGGGGGTGGCTACAGCATCAAGCTCATCATTGCCACTGAACAGGAAACAGTCTTTGCATCTCCCAAAGAGGTGCTCCCAGGGTCTTGTCTCTAGCAGGAGATCCGTAAGTATTTGGTTCGGTTTCCTCAGGAGATCCTAACAGTTCAGGGACTCCAGTGTAGAGAAAAGTGAGGCCCCCAGCAGATATTTAACTCAGCTAGTTTCACAGCGAGTTGGTGGTTCTTACCACTGATTCCTGAAGCTGTATTTTTGGATTTTAATCCAGGCTACACTGCAGACTCTCCCTGTTGCCCTGGGCAAGTCAATGCCATTCAACAAACCCTTTATTATTAAGCACTTAGATGAAAAGCAGTGTGGGAAAAAGATTGTGTCCCTTCCAGTAGAAAGGACAGGCTTGGCAAGAGTAATTGTAATAAAACGAGCTTTATACAAAGTGCTACAAAGTCACTTTGCTTTTCAACCAGGCCTTAGATTGTTTGTCTATAAAGTGAATGGGATGACCCAGAGCAGGGGTTGGCCGACTTTTACCGGAAAGAGCCAGATAGTAAGTATTTCAGGCTTTGCAGGCCATACAGTCTCTGTCACAACTTCTCAGCTCTGTTGTTGCAGCATGAAAGCAGCCACAGACAGAACATAAACACACGGAAATGGCCACATGGTGTTTTACCAATTGCAACATACTTGCAGGTGTTTTTCTATGTGAACAATTTGGAGACAAGATCAGAGAATTATTAATTCTTTAAAAAATTTTTTTCACGTTTATTTATTTTTGAGAGAGAGACAGAGTGTGAGCATGGGAGGGGCAGAGAGAGAGGGAGACACAGAATCCAAAGCAGACTCCGGGCTCTGTGCTGACAGCTCAGTCAGCACAGAGCCCGACGCGCGGTGGTCAAATTCACAAACCGTGAAATCATGACCTGAGAGGAAGTCAAGTCAGACGCTTAACCGACTGAGCCACCCAGGCACCCCTGGGCTAAGATATTTTAGACAACATCGTCAAACTGGCATGTATTGGTTTGGGATACCTTTTATGACCCCTATTATCGATATAGGCTAACTTAGCTTGCTCTGAAATTTTATACCTGAGTAGAAAGTATGCCTGAGTATAAAGCGTACACCTGTCCATGTATTTGTTCTAGCCTGACGTGATAAATATCTGACTTGCCTTGACCATGCATAGTCACAGAAAGCCAATAAACAGCAAAGCCGATACACTAGCCTGGCTTTAAA